GATTACGTAACAATAACTTTCAACATTTGAGACTGAAAGTATTTAAAATTATTTAAAAGATACACTACAGTAGCATTTTATATAATTTAAATAAAATTAGGCTTCTTATTTACAGAGCTACCAACCTGTACAAACCTTTGGTTTTACTGTATTTTTCCATGTATGAAATGACACTTTTCCGAAAACGATTAGAGGAAAATTGAGGATCATTTTATACATGGTAGTAAGGAGGGGAGAGAGACCAAAGGGCTTTGATCCCTGCTTCCCCCTCCACTTTTTGCAAAGAAAGTGGAAGGGGAATGCACTTCCCCCTCCACTTCCTTGGGAGGAAAGTACCTTCCCTCTCCACTTTCTTTGCAAAAAGCTGCTTTCCCCCTCCACTTTTTGCGAGAGGGAAAGCAGATTTTTGCAAAGATAGGGGAGGGGGAAAGTACTTTCCTTGCAAGAATATGGAGGGGGAAAGCGATTCCTGCTTTGCCTATGGAGGGGGAAAGCTATTCCTGCTTTGCCTCTCCACTTTCTTGCGAAGAAAGCGCTTTCCCCCTCCACTTTCTTTGCAAAAAGTGGAGGGGGGGAACAGAATTTGAAAATAAAGTGGAGGGGGAAAGCACTTTCTTCCCAAGAAAGTGGAAGTGGAAAGCAGGAATCAAAGCACTTTGATCCCTGCCTTCCCCCTCCACTTTCTTTCAAAGAAATAAATTTTGGGTTAGAAAAGTGGGAGGCATCTTATACATGGGCGTGTCTTATACACTGAAAAATACGGTACTTACTATTTATCTTTATCAGATTGGATTATCCAATTTTCCCTCAATTTAATGGCTAAATGATCTTATTTAGCAACTTTACAGTTTATTTTGTTGTTTGTACTTGGTAGCAACTTCTGGCAATGTTATTTTCTTAGACAAATTAAAAAGAAAAAGTTATAGATCTCAGAAACTAGTTCTCTTGGGAAATTGAGAAACTGAGTCCAAAATACCTTAAATGGGAAGGTAGGAAGTTTACACTTTTTTGTCTGTTACAACAGGAATGTTCATTCTTGTTCTATTTCAAGTAAAAGTTGGATACATTGATATGTTGGATACATTGATATGATAAATCCTGGTTTTAAAATGATAATTTACCAAAAAGGGATGAGGGGACAGCAGCTATAGTACATCTGTCTTTACCAACAAACTATGGTTCCAGCAAGAATTCTACCTTCAAAGTTTGTTGATCAGAAGGATATAATAACAAAAACATAAAAGCAAAGAAAATTTAAGAGTCTAAAATTCTTCCAAGGACTAACATTTCATGACTTTGATCAATTATCCTTCTCAACAAGCACTTACTTTGATAGTGACAGGGAGCAGTGTGAGATAAAAGGAACTGTCTAAGCAATGTGGTCTCATGTTCCTTAGAAGAGGGATCTGGGAGTGTAAATAGACAACTGTGTATTCTGTCCACTCTGCCCAGTGATTGCAATTGTATGTGTATATTTGGAAAGTTCAGAAAACGTCACTTCAATGCAATTTACTCTCCCATCACTGTTGTGTTTGGTTAATAAAGCACTTGTTAGATTAGCTCCAGAATTGTTCAGAATTCTAACTTGATTGTACTCTAATATGTATTCTAACAATAAACTCTTTTTGCAGCCCACTCCAGATGGCACATTCTACTCTGGATTCCCAAATTCCTCTCATTGATTTTTAAAATTTTATTTTTAGATAGTTCTAAAATTTTGGTGGTGATTTATATTTTTATGTGCCCACCTTGGACTTGATTTATAATAAAAAGGCAAACAGTAAATGGCAAACCAAAACCCCATTAAGGCCTGTCTTTAACAGTGTTGGTGTGCTTGTGCATTTTTAGATTTTGTACTAGCATGCTATCCAGTGCAATGTTCATTGCACAAAAAGTTGTGTATGATCTAATACTTGTGCTTCACTGAATTTAGATGATTTATTTATCTACCAGTGTTTGCGAAAACTTCAAAAATCTTAGTCCTTTGCTGAAATTATGAATTGAACTGAGGAACTGAAGGATTAAATATGAGGCAGTAGACATCATTCAGTCATGTGACAGATGTGAAATAAAACTAAAGTTAGGAACAACTTCTGCTCCCAATACATTGTCCTACACATGTCTACTTAGAAGTAAACCTCACTGAATTCAACAGGAATTTCTCCCAGGTTAGCATGTACAGTATAAGATTGCAGATTTCGGGCCTGCCCAGACAGGGGAATTTGGAATGATCTGGTTCGTGTTTAAACGGTTCCTATCTTCAGTGTGATCTATTTTATCTCTCAATTGAGAGATCCTTCCAGTCACTTGTAAGTTTACCAGGTTTATTCAAGAGTAAGGAAGCAGCAACAGCAGCTGATGACAGCAGTGGTGTGAGGCAGAAACGTTGGGTTGAAGGTTGAGGAGGCAGAAGTAGGTAACTCCTCTTTTCCCCACCTTTCTCCTCCGCCAAGGCTCTGCTGAGGCCGTGCTGCTTTGTGGGGACGGAGGCCATGGAGCTGACTAGTGTCCTTCCCCACCTTTTCTTGTGGCCATCATTCAGCTGGCCACAGTGATTTACCCTTTTTGTCATTAAATAAAGTAAGTGGCATATGAAAAGAGCAATCCATCAACCTAGAATGGTATTAGAATTGCACTGCATCAGTTATGGAAATATTTTTAAAAGGATTAAATTAGAGGAGGGGGTTTCTCCATCTTCCTTTCAATGTCATAACCAACCTATTAGTTCACTGGGTTGCCACCTCAGATAACATCATCCACAGTTCTATTTGGGGGCAAGCTAACCATCCATACAAGCGACACAACGGAATAATTAAGAGCACACTGAATCATACAACAAAAATAGAAGCCCTCAAGTGCTATACTAGAAAGGAGCAGGACAGCTCTTTAAGGGGCGGGATGGATCAATCTAGGTAGAAACATATGTAGATGGCATAATTTGGTTCAAACAAAATGAAACTAACAGCAATCCAAACTGCATTCTATGTGCTGATCTAGTTGGGCCCTTAGTTATATTTGTCACTTGGTCCCTCTTACTTGGTCTTTTACTTTTTCCTAAGATCCTTCATTACCTCCTAGATGTGTTAAAGAATTTATACAAGTGAAATTGTTAAGTTTAATCTTTAAATATAAGCATTCAAAAGCCCCTTTGCTTCGTGAAGGAAAGTCCTTTACTAAAAATTACAGAGATTTTAATGGTGCCGTAGAGATACAGAAACACTAGATTATATTCATTTGAACTACATGGGCCTATTTGTACCAAATTTGAGTAGAGTTAGGTCTATTGATGTTGGTGGAAAAGAATCTGAATTTATCTTCATGAATGAAATGGGCAATCATAAACAGGCAATGCATCACAATGGAGACATTGCAAATGATTTAAATGAATGACTACAATTTTAAAAAATGATCTCAGTATGACTGGAGATAATGTATTGAAAAGAGAATATTCAACACATTTAAAAGTGACATATTGCAGAACAAACAAACAAAAGATAAAAATTGCAAATAATAACATAGCAGAGAAGTGGCCAGCAGATAGTATTTCTGAAACAACCGTGATGTTAGATAGATGGCAAATAATCACCAGCCCTGTGCCATGACTAAATAAACTAAAGTTGTTGTTATATCCGGTGTGGTATAGTACAGCCATACTTAATGAGGGCCATATGGCCCCCTGGGGAGCCCTGGTACATTTGAAGGGGGACAGATATTGAAAAATGTGAGAAGATTTGGAAAGATCATATTTTATCCTTGTTGGACAGGGGGCTCTGGAACCTAAGAAGAGCTCCTAAAAGGGCGGTGACCAAACAAGGTTGAGAACAGCTGGTGTAGTGGATAGAGTAACAGACTAGCAGACCTGAATTCAAGTCCCTGCTTGGCCATGGAAACTCACTCGGGGTTGGGGGATGGCACTGGTAAAATGCCTACACTATCTCACATGCCTGGAAAGTCCTATTAGGGGTTGATATAACACAGTTCCAATTTGCCGGCACATAAGACACAGATTGCTGTAAAAGCATCACGACATTGCTTCTTTTTAACTGGATTAGTGAGAATACAACATATAATATTGTGTGGCGAAGCGGTCCTTGGGGTTCTTTTAAGACTTGAGTGAGACTTGAGGAGAGCTTCGCACCAGCCTCAAGCAAGTTTAAGATTAGATTTGAGGGTATCAGATCCTCAAGTGATATTCATAATTTCAGAGACTGCAGACATAAAGATATAGTTGAGGTGTTTCTACAGAGGCTGATCCTGATCACTTTTCACTGTGCTCTTAAATGTTGGCAATGTCAACCAGAAAGGGCCTAGGAAGAGGAGCGAATGAATCCAGCCCAAGCTCCTTTCCATGCTACAAAGTTTTTAAGGTTTTTGATTACATAACGGATGATGATGATGATGATGATGATGTTTTCACTGTGCTCTTAAATGTTGGCAATGTCAACCAGAAAGGGCCTAGGAAGAGGAGCGAATGAATCCAGCCCAAGCTCCTTTCCATGCTACAAAGTTTTTAAGGTTTCTGATTACATAACGTATGATGATGGTGATGATGATGATGATGTGGTTGTTATTGTTGTTGTTGAATTGCTTTGTAATTGTATCATTTATTGTGTTTTTAATTTCACTTGTTTTGTTGTGAGCCACCTTGAGTTCCCTACAAAGGACACTAAATCAATAAAAATGAATAAATGAATAAATACTTGGGCCTCTCAGAGCTGAGAACCGATATAAACAGCTAAAAGACATGCCCTGTTGGAGAAAAAAAAAACCCAGTGTTTCCACACTATGTGCATGAAAACCAAAATGTGATCAACTTTCGGCTGAGCTTTGCTACACTCAGTGAAAGTAATATTACATTATGAGAGAAGATAAATTTGCTTGTTTTATTGAAAAATTGATAATGAGATGTATCTGCCTATGTAAAGTGTTCTTTCACTCCCTCTTAATTTTTCTAGTCACTGTTCTTCATACTTTTGTCTCCCTCAATCTTTCCTTCATAGTCAGAGCTACCTGCAAGCTGCAAGCGATGTGCCTGGTGGTCACAATTTGGATCCAGCGGCAAACTACAATTCCCCCAAGTTCCGATCACGGAACCAGAGCTATATGAGAGCAGTGAGCACGCTCAGTCAGGCCAGCTGCATTAGCCAGGTTGGAAAACTTCAATTTCTTTCCGTCAAATCTTTTAAAGCAACAATAGTAACAATAATGTTTAAAGGCCCAGCACTTTGTCACCTAGTTATCAGTAAGGAATCTGTTTTTATTTCAGTTTACTAGAGAAATGAGGAATACTTCTGGTGAATGGAGCATATTAAGGTCTTAAGCCATTTGAGATGCATATCAATTGTGTTTTGTAGCTGAAACCAGGAGAATCTTACGCCTGTTTACACCCTGCCATTGTTAAGGTATAACGTTGAAATATTCTACATATGAACCTAAAAATACAGTGTATAAAAATGGCAAATACAGTACCAGTTTGCAAATACTGGATTGGTCATTCCATAATGAATATATGCTAAATGACGAACACTGGTTTGACACTATATAATATATAGAACAAGCCATTTAATAAGTAAAACACTGGTTTGACACTATATGCAGTAATATATAGAACAAGCCATTTAATAAGTATATCATATAATCTTGCACTGAACAGAAAGCCAAAACTCATGTTCAGAGAGATGTGTGTGTCATGCTTGTGCATTGTTTTGATCCCTTTGTTGTACAATGTACATGACTCCAGAATAAACATACAAAGGAAAGCAGTATGCACTCACATACTTCTCCTTTCAACATGTTTTCACATTTATAACTTGTTTCCATTTGAGGGAGCATTCTTTAGAAAAAGATTTCTCTGAACATGCTCAGTTCCGAACATATCTCATGTTCTAGATTGTGATATGTGAATCTCAGTGGCTGTGGCCAACCTGCACAGATTTTACATCTCTTTTGGGAGTATGAGACAGGAAGAGGTAGTTGAACTCTTAATGGCTATTGTATACTCTGCTTTAACGCAGCAAGACTGTTTTGTTCAGTGTAGGTTGAGCCCCTATAGTAGCAAGCTGTTGACTTGGGTTTTGGTGCTTCTAGTGTTCAAATATGTGAAACTGCTTTCATATTCCTTGATGAAAATGTAGGAAATCATCTCTAAGTGGAAACAAGGTCAAACTCTTTCATTCAATTCCCTTTCTTACCTAACAACATCTAGTGGAGTTTTGAAGAGAGCTGATAGCAGTTAGTATTATACCAATCAGGAAGTCACAATTATAAAGAGATGCTGACCAACTATTGAAATCTGCTGATCACTAGCAACACACAAAGTACGTAGGACAAAGAAGATAAGTTTTGACAAATCCTATCTCTTGCTTGCATACAACAAGAGAGCCTGACAAAACTGATGCTCACTCATGGCACACCTCCAAACGTTTACTTCTAGTACTAGAAATGGATGAAGAGAACACTGTGTCCACACTGCTGCTGATTCAAACTGCATAAGCCCCACTTGATCCTGTACCAGGATGAACAGTAAACACGGGGTTGGCCCTGCCATTAGGCGGAGTGAGGTAGCCATTTCAGATGGGAAAATATTCAGGGCAGTGAATTATGTCCCCGTTGTTACTCTGAAGAGCCTTGCTGCCCCCATTTCCACCTGAGCCCTTGATCTGTCAGGCTATAGCAATGGCCACCTCTAGAAAGGCACTTTAGACTAGCCTGAAAATTCCCTGGGGTTTTGCTCTCAGGGGGGATTTGCAAAGCACAACATGATGTGACTAAAGAGACAGACTGTGCAGTACCACCAGTCTTAGTGGTGAGCCTTCCCACAATGCCTCATGCCCCCCCCCCGAGTGCGTTGTTGGGGACAAGACAGATATAGAGAAAGGAGGCAAAGGTTTGGAGTGGACAGGAAGAAAGGAGGGAAGAAGGAGCAACTGGAGTGATGGGGGAACGAGAAAGGCAACAGGAGAGAAACTTTAGAAGGATCCCTTGCACTACCTTGGGCAGAGGAGGCCACCAGCTGAAGGCAGAGTGCATGTGACAGGGACTATCCCCCAACCATGACAATTTTACTGGCCATTCCTCTCTAACCATCCATTTATATTACAGAACCAAATATATCTCTTCCTCCCCATCCCCCACCCACGTACGCACCCTACCAGCAAATTAAGTTTATAAGTAGAAAATGAGATGTTCATCTTAATTATAAATGTATTATCCCATCTTTCTTTCTTAATATTGTTAGCATAAGACCGTTCAAAATAAGAATGTTTGCCTTACACTAATTCATTAAATTTGATTAGAAATCAAGTAATAACAATAATTACAAGGATTAGAAATAATTATTTTCAGGCCAACTTAATTACGGAAGTGTATTTATGGAAAATAATGGATAAGGCTTCTAGTGTGGACATGGGTTCTTTGCTGAAATTACATTTTTAAACTGAAGCTACTTATTGAACAAACTAACCCCCCCCATTGGCTCAGTTCACAGAATACATTTTGTGTATGTATGTGTGTTTGTGACAAAGAGGCCTATACACAAGGAGCCACAGTTACTCATGGCACACCGTTGTGCAGAAGAAAATCATGTCTGCCCACAGAACTACAGTCTGTGGCAGAACTGTAAGCAACTTGTGGCCTTCCAGATGTTAGAGTGCAGTTCCTTACCATTGACTGTGCCGCTTACCTCTAATGGGGTTGCATTCTGACAACATCTGGAAGGCCACAAGTTGCCCGCTCTGGTCTCAAGTGGAGCCCATCCTTGCCATAATTAGAAAGAGTGCTGCCACAACCTTAGAACTGCTGTGGAACTGTGGTGGCACATGACCTTTGTCTGTGTTAGTATGTGCTTAGCAGCAGTTGGGACAGTTTCCATTATTAAAAAATGCATTGTGCAGACTAGTGATAAGATAGTAATACGTGCAGGATCCCTGATCTGAGAAGGGTAACTGTGTTTCTCATGAAAAAGTGAAGCCAGTAGAGTTTCTCCAAGTATGGTGGTACCTTGACTAACTGAAATGAAGGAAAGGAAAGGGAAAATAAATATTTTGGTCTTAAAGGTGCTACATGATTGTGGTGTAGAAAGGGAATGCTAACTGGTCATTTATTTCAGTCTGCAGCTCTGGGGTTACAAAAAAAATAGCCTTTTTTGTTTGCACCTCTGTGCTACGCAATTGTGGTATAGAAATGTAGAAAGGGAATGCTAACTGGCCATTTATTTCCGTCTGCAGCTCTGGGGTTACAAAAAAAAATAGCCTTTTTTGTTTGCACCTCCCCTCTTTGCACCTCACAACTAGTGTTGTGGAAACATCCTGCTCTTCTGGTAATATGATACAACACATGCAGAACTCTCAAGGGTGAGACATAGGCAGGATATAATTGCAACAAGAACAGAGCTGCTTTGAATGACAGTTCTGGATTGCCATCAACTGCTTTGAAACCCACCTCTGCTCCTTAGGTGCACTCCCTTGGTTCTGGTCTCATTTAAGCCTCTACAGTACTCAATGACTAGTGCTTCACATATTTGTAATTTAACAACCGAAAAGGAAAGGAAGTTGGTCTGGCATTGACATTGATCTGATCAGAGACCATGGTTTCCCACTGTGAGAAGGCATCATAGCTCTTATTGGGAGTATACATGTTCCCCCCGTTTCCTCATATGTTAGGGGAGGAAGACTAGTTTGTAACTGGAAACAAGCCACAATATCTTTTTCCATTTTGTTTTGTTTTTAAAGCTAACTGTGGTCTAAAGAAGCCATTTTTCTTCTTTCTTACACAACATGAGAGGATAGTTTCCTCAAAGCAACAAATGAGAGTGCTGTACTTCCTTTGCTCACATGTAGCAGACGAAGGGGTGGGCAAAATAGACTCTGTAGATGCTCTTGGACTGCTGTTTACAATATTCCACCCACTGGCTATGCTGGCTAAAGAGACTTGCAGTCTAGGAAAGTATACTATGACTTTACCAAGAATGGGATTTTCAGATTCTTTTGGATGACAAATCCCATAATTCTCAATTCCAGGAGATCTATCTAAAAGACAGACACCTTACAGACAACTAAATGTGGCTCACCTGGATGAAAGGCCTAACCTGGAAGGTTTTGAGGCCTAGCTCTGCCCATACTTCCTGTTCCTGCCTCAGTGCTAGCTGGGAGTATTTTGTATGTACAGGAAGTCGGGTGAAGCTAGGCCTACATAGGCTTCAAAGCCATCCAGTTTAGGCTTTTCACACAGGTGGACCACATTTAGGTGTCTGTTTGTCAAGTAGGATTTGTGGAATGGAGAATTACAGGATTTGTACTCCAAAAAGATTAAAAATAAAATCATATCTTTAAACTTTACCTTTGCCTGCAATAAACGAAGGAAGGGAGCCTTTGAGCTCAACTCAGTGTAGCATTAGCACAGTGGGAAATACATCTGAACCAGAGAAACTGATTTAATTGTTTTGTTACCTTTCCAAAAGCTGTCTTTTCCCCGTCTCTGTTTGAGTTCCTGTTTTACATTGGCGATGCTTCCTACAGAAAAGATTAATGGAGTCAGGGTGAGGAGGGAGGATAGGTCAGGACTAGCCCCAACTAGCTGGTTCCTCTAATGCATTGATGGTGCAAATTAATGATTGGTGGTTCTGTCCCTCTTTTTTAACTAATTACCCAATACAGTCCAATGAAAAATCAGTTTCTTCACATTTTGTCTAAATTGGAAACTTAAGTCAGAGCTAGCTGAAGCAAATGTCCATGAATCAGCTCTGCTGAGGCACTTTGTTAATGACAAAAGTGCTAAGAGGGATGGTGGGGAAGTTGGGGGAGTCCTGCATTTATTGCTCGGGTAGTACCTGTTGTCTGAGGTGTTGCAGCAGAGTCCATTTCTGACAAAAAAAAGCCAGCACAAAAAAACAAAACAAATGCAATGTTGTTGTTTATCTAGATGAGTGAAGCAGAGGTCAATGGGCAATTTGAATCTGTTTGTGAATCAGTGTTTAGTGAAGTTGAAGCTCAGGCCATGGATGCCCTCGATCTTCCGGGTTGCTTCCGAACCAGAAGTCACAGTTACTTGCGTGCCATTCAGGCGGGTTACTCTCAAGACGATGAATGTATTCCTGCAATGGCATCTTCCAATATCACCTCAACAATCAGGTCAACAACAGGTAAGATGTTCAACCTTGTTCCCTTGACAGCCCGTACTTTGACCTGCAATAAAATAAAAATGAGGATATTGATCCATAAACAGAAGGTTACATATGCTATGTACTATGTCTTGTCGCACAGAAGAACACTGACTAGAATTTAATAATACCTTTTATTTTAGCCACAGTGATGCCTCCACAAGGTTAGGACATCAAGGCTTTCCCTTAAAAAATAAAAATAAAAAACCAGCTGTAAGCTGCTTTCTCAACACCAAAGGATAGACAGCTATCAAGGCTTACTTAGGTTTCGATACATTCTGCTCCAAAATAAAGTTCTTGGGAATCAGGAAAGACCTTCATTAGTTTTAACACTTGATTTATTTAAGTTTGCTTTTTCATACCCTTTAGCACTGGAATTGTAATCATCCTGTTGTAGGGTAGAGGCATTTGAATGGTCTCTGGGTTCTTAAAATTGTTGGAGGGAAGCAAGAGAGAAGGAGGGAGGGAGACGCAAACATACGCAGAGTTTGAAAGCATTGGACCTGTTATTAGCTCAGGAAATCTGAAGACAGCCTAAACCTAAGGAAAAAGACTGGTATATCGCATATGCATTTTCTCCATTGACATCATCTATAAGTATCCTTTTTTACAGGTCTCGTTTTTGCACTTTTAAACATCTTCTATAGTTCCTTGGAAGGTGTTGGTAAAGGAAATTGGTTTCATTGTTTTTAGAAGCACCACAGCTAGAAGAGGGAAATGGAACCTTTTCCAAAGACAATTTGAAGCAAAATAACAATAACAAAGGACGACGACAACAATAACAACAACAATACCATTGCAAATTTTGAGATCTTTCAACCCTATGTTTACAAAGGACAACAACAACAATACCATTGCGAATTTTGAGATCTTTCAACCCTATGTTTATGTTTCTCTCCCTCCCTTCTCATTGTGCTCTTTATTTTCTTACTACTACTAGAAGATGAAACTTTTAAGTCAGAGTAAACATTCACTAAAATATGGTCACAGAGCTGTTCTACGTAAATGTTTCACTCCCTTTTGTTTTACACCTGCGTCTGGCAAGATCTTGAAGTAGCCTTAGTCTCACATGTTTCCACTGAACTTTTTTTGTTTCTTCACAATAATACATAGATGTTGAAGATGCAGATGGATAAATCCTGTGGTTTCTCTCATGAAAGCTAGCATATCAGTTTACAAGGCCTTTAAACAGAGAGGATCAGATCTTTGACATCTCAATCTCATTAAATTTGAACAAGCCAACCAAAAACAGTTTTCTACACACAGTTGTACGAAAAATTGTTCAGTCTTTGTAGCTTTGGACTCCAAACACAGCCACTGTTTGTGAGAAGTGGCCTTGGACCCAAATGTTGACAATCAACTCAACTAGAAAAGAACACATCCACTTAAAGGCTAGAAAGCAATACAAATGCTGTAAATGCACATCCAACTCATGTTTGTGACAAATTACAGTACACTCAGTGAACTAGGACCAATGTAGCTAAAATGGCCACTTGTTAAGTGTTGCCAGGGAAAGTAAATTTTCTTTGGTGGCTCCACCACTTTGGAAGTCCCTCTCCTGACTCCTTTACTAGCTTTACTGGTCTCCAAAGGTCTTATAAATCTATCCTGTTCTAACCTTGAATGTCACTGAAGGCTGTTTGTTGTCTCTGCTGTTTATGTGATGGTGATGAAGATAATGATTATGCTCTTCTAATTTCTGGCTTTGTTCATTTATCATTGATGGATTTATATGAAATTAATTTGTTTTATATGATAGGTTTCAAATAAATAAATTGTGTACACTGTGAGCAGTCGGATATTGCTTGTTACCTCTCCCCAGACGTGGGCACGCTGACCACGTGGGCTGATATTTGAGCAGGCCTTGCTGTGGTACTTTTGTCTAGCCTTTATCCCATCCATGGAGAATGTTACTGTCTTTTCTTTAAAGTTATTTCATGTTGCAGTAATAGGATAAAATTACGCTGTTTCCACAGTTTGACATTATCCACAATGTATAGGGTGTCAGACTGAGACTCCGGAGACCATAGGAACCAAGAAGGTAGAGGGGGAGGAATGATAAAGCATACCTTGAACATTTTATCTACCTCAATAATTTTGTTAGGGTTGCTGTAATTTGGAAGTCCCTTGACAGGACTTAAAACACAGTATGGAACCATGACACATGAGGCAGAGAGGAAATTTTTGTGTGGAAATATTTGGGTTCAAAAGTGGAAGGGAGACAGACAGACAGGGCCCCAAAACCTAGACCCAATTGCATGTGTGGGGAAGGGAAAGGCACTAGTTAAAAGTTTGGAGACCCATTGCAACTGTGGGGGCAGCAGTTTTCCCCCTCTTTTCTTGTCAGAGCTGCTGCTTCAGACCTCATTAGAACTCCTTTTGGAAGTTGCTTTTTTTATCTGGAATGCCCTGGAATGGCATCCCCTTATGGGAATTTTGAGAGTGAGGGGAAGGTGGACAATCACTGTGAGGACCTCTGCTGTGGTTATCTGTAATAGCAAATTTTGGAACAGGGAAAGAGGAACAAAGATGACCCGATCCACCCCCCCCACCCCCCATTGATTGTAGCAGTAGTAGGAAGAACCTGCCCAAATAGCCTTGTCAGATTGCTGCCTGCAAATGTAGTGGTGATCCAGGGTGGTCACCCCATCACTTGCCGCCAAGATTGTGCCCTTAATCGTTTGGATTGGGGGCGGGTGGTATAGTTCCTATAAGACATCATTCAGCCAAAGGGATCGACATTTAGATCCCATTAATTTCTCTGTCTGGATGCTTCTTTAATGCCTTTTGAAAAACTGCGCATTTTGAGTAACAGTCTTCTGGTTAAATGAAATATCTTTGGGTTTGGACAATGTTTAATTCTTATTATCTGTATGAAAATGTCTTTCTTGCTTTGTGAATGCATCAGGTAATTTCTTGCTCAAATATTTCATAGCTGTGACACGTTAAACGTAGCACAATGACTATGGAGAAAGAAGTGGGACCATCATTTCAAACATCATCAGATTTTAAAATACTAAAAATCTGAATTTTCTTGTCAGGCACTGTAACTTGTAACTACATAAATTATCCATAGCATTGCACATTTCACTTCTTGCTTTTTGGGAACTGCTACACTTAGTAAAATACTCCAGTGGAAATTGATATTAGATCTCAAAAGAAGTATACCAATTATACGCTACATTGTTAAGTGAAATCTTCAATTTCCAATACAAGTTATTAGCTTCTAAATGATTCAACAGCTATTCCAGATTTCCACATTTGAAATGCAATGGACAGCAGTTTCTTTGCCCATTATTTCACACTTCAAATGACCATTCACTTATTAATTTGATGGAAACCAAATTAAATACAGTGCAGCTTGTTAGAAATAATTGGATATGTATGGAATCTTTTATTCAAAAGGCAGAAAGGTCAGAGTTGAAATCATATTGAAAATGGACTGCTTTGAATAGTTGCAAATTTTAATTATATATCTTTTTTATTATTTGCTAATATGGCCAACTATAAGGAGGGAGGCTTAGAACTTTCATAGTATTCTTTGCTGAAAAGGCACATCTGAGGTCATAATTCATGTATCTTCTCTAGTAATTAATTTACTTAACAAAAAGAAACTTGCTAGGTTTTGTTACGGCACTTATACAGAGTCATGTATGGGACATTACCTCTGTTGAGAGAGAGAGAGCAGTCTGTGTACAAAAAAAGAGTAGTCTCAACAGACAAGTATTTTGCTAGCATGGTGGTGGTGGTGGTGGTGGTGGTGGAGCATGGTGGTGGTGGTGGTGGAGGTGCTGCATGGCCATACCCAAGAAGGCTCCATCACTTGCCAGCAGGATACATTCACTATGAGCCACAGCTGCTCGCAAGAGAAAGAGATGGAGAATGTGGGATCCAGCTGAATTGCTAGACTAGCTGTGATCTCAGGAGATTTTGACTCCTGAGCTTTGTAGCACAGTGGTTAAACTAACCTAACGTACTGCAGGTAAAACTCTGCTCATGGCCCGGGTTCAAATGAGCTCAAGATTCACTTAGCCTTTTATCCTTCCAAAGTCAGTAAACTGAGTACCCAGCTCAATGGGGTGGCAATATGTTGCTGGCATAATTAAATTCTGAACCTCCCAGAGAGTTTTAAGTGCTATGAGGTGGTATATACGTAAGCAACACACTTTGCTTTTGCCCCTCTTTGTTGTTGTTGTTTAGAAACAACAAGTTCACAAAAAAACTAAAACTAAAAGCTTTGTAGATTATAATCCTTATTTTTTTTAAATGGGAATAATTTTAGGACAAGTAGAGTAAAACAATGTGAGAAGCAGCTCATTATCCAGTGGAAGATTGGGGTGAGTGATGGTGTTTCAATAGACATCCAGCTATTTGGAAACGGATTTCTAAATCCACTACTGTTTTTACAACAGTTCAGGGTGACTGGATTCAAAATGATAAAAACACCTGGTTCCAGGAGCTGCATGGTCTAACAGGCTCAAGATGCAACTCTGTTGTGAACACAACCTTCAGCTGCCATCATGACCTTTTGGGTCTTCATAAAATCTGATTGCCTGCCACCACCTTTCACTTATCCATTTTTTACAGTGGTATTGATTTTTATTTTTCCACTATAGGGAAAGGTCAGTCTTTCAGCGTCAAACGGTTTAAATTATAGGAATTTTTATTTCAAAATCATTTTCACGGAGGCTACAAGCAACTGCTGAACAATGTACTGTATTCCAAAGAAGCTTTCCAGCTGAGAGAGTTCCAGAGACCTAAAGCCAACACAGCACTCTGAGGTTTATATCTGGCAGGGTTATCTGGAACTGCAACAATTTGGGTCAGTTGCTCAGGAATCAATTCGGTGGACACACGTTTTGATGCAGAATTGAACTACCCCAACAGTGCCTAGATTGCACTGTTCCAGAGAGCAAATGAGGGTCACAAACGCTCTCCCACATTGGGGGAGAAAGATAGGAAGGCTACTTTTCTGTGTTCAA